GTTAAACTGAGAAAAATATCAACTTTAACAAATACAACACCAGATTTTCCTTAAAGGTAAGCTTTGTCTCTCACAGACAGCAGAAATAGGGCTTTCTGTGTGCTAGGTATGAAATATTATTAGAAGAGTGGGAAATTAGATCAAAGACATTTCATATTCTGATGCAATAGTTTTCTTGATTATCGGCCGCAGCGTTCTTGACAATCTTACATTTCGTATTATTGCATTATCTTATTATTCTGTAATTATTCCCTTTACTTTAAAAGCTAACTCAAGGTCGAGTATAAAATGAACTAATTTAAAAGGCATTTCTTTTCAAATTGAAGCCTTTTTGTAGGGTGTCGGTTTAAGTTTTTAGTTCAAGTACAGAAAGAAGGCACTCCAATAATCTCGTTTAGTTAATCAGTTTTTATTTTCCTTTTAATAGCCGCGAAAAAATCTGTATGAAAATGTCCAAGGTTTTCTACAATATGTAAGGTTTTCTAAAAATCTTATATCAAACAAATTTAGTGAAAACAAATGGGAAATCGACTATGTACTTAAGAACCCCGAATCCTGGCTGCTATTAAATAATTTAGCCTCAAGTGATTATCGTTAGAGCGATATTTAACCTATCCAACTTGGACGTTCGCTGGTGAAACTTTCTTTATAGTGGCTGTAAGAGAGCTAGAAGGCGCATATATAAAGAAACAGAGGGTGTTTTAAGAGATCAATCAAAGGTAGAGTAAGGCATTACAAGGCGCCGAAACTGAGAGAGGCTTCCCACGGTCAAAAGTTAATCGTCACTTTCTTCAGGTACCTGTTGTTCAGCATCTATTCTGTCAGTAAGGGCAAATTATTGCGGCTACTTCACCATGACCATTCTGCCATAAAAACAATCATTGTCCATTTTCTCCAATTCGAAAAAAAAAGTTAAACGTATTTTTCCACTCCGCGGCAAGTGGCTTTCTCGATGTTCAGTGAAAGAGCTCGGCGATGCAGAAACAGTAAAAATTACTGTCAGACAATTGTGACAATCGATTGTCAACTGAGTGCGTTAAAAGTTGCGGAGTCGTGCAAACCTGGCCTTTATTGTTTTTTGTCTTGACTCCTTTTAATCCCAGCTGGGCAGTACTTTCATGCATGTATCTGCCACTGATCAGTGCCTTTGGTGAAAAATAAGAGTCCAGAATAACATAGAGTCTATCAAATTATAGCTTGTGGCAGTGGCGGATACAGGGGAGGGACCCAGGGGGCCCGGCCCCCCTTATTTTGCACTCCATACTGAGGCCCAAAGAGCCCAAAAAATTGTTTTGGAGACCGCGTTGCTTATTTTATAATAACTGAGCGAATCCTCGCGCGCTGATTGATCGAGAGCGTTGGTCTATTTAACAATTATTCCTCGAGCCCAAATGGGCTGTGAGTCAATAGCCCATGAGACCTCATGAGCTATTGACTCAGAGGCCATGAGGGCGAGAGGAATAATTGTTTTAGTAAAATCCAACTAGTTGGTCAAAAATATCAAAACAAAACAACTTAAAGCAAGACTCTAATCCTTTTTTGCCGCCAAAAATCAGTCGCTTTTCGCTACTGGTGGGCCATAACATATAACCTAGTAGTAGCTCAACCAATCAGAACGCAGCATTGATTGACTAGTTGAATTTTACTAAGAGTATAGACCATGGAAATGACGTAACATGTCACGCAATGCTGGTTGTTTTGTTTTTGGTTTTTCGTAAAAAATAAATGTTATTGTAAAAAACAAATCGAGCACAATTTTCCATGGTCTACACTCTTATAGACCATAGAAATGACGCCATAAAATGTTCAAAGCTTTGCAGTGAAACCACTCGGCTGCGGCTCGTGGTTCCACTTGAGTTTTAATCATTTTATGACGTCATTTCTATGGGTCTATAAGAGTGTAAACCATAGAAAATTGTGGTCGATTTGTTAAAAACTTGAGCTTCAGCTTCTAACCCAAAGTAATTCTTTGGTTATCTTCCCGCTAAACATTGTAATCCAATCTATCTGACATACTCTGAGACATCTGTCACATGTACATTTTGTGACAAATCACTCGAGAACGCTCTGTAACATTTATTCAGCAGTCTTATCATGACAGACACACCCAAGCCCGACCCTGTGGAGGGGGAAGGAGAGGAGAGTGAAAAGAGCAAGGGAAAGAAAAGCAGCTTTCCCAAACGATATATCGTAGCCATTATGATTTTCCTTGGTATCTGCGTGCAGTACGCTCTCCGAGTAAATCTTAGTGTCGCCATTGGAGCTATGTGTAATAACCATACGATTCAACAAAATGGTTTCACCATACAGAAGGTATGTGCTACAGGTCTTTTGCGATCTTGCTTTGCAATAAAACAGAAAATTTTTTTGACAGGAAATCCAATGTTCACTATACTTTTAAAAACTCCTTATTTGAAGAATGTCTTTTGCAAAAAGAGAGCACTTAAAATCCCGAAAAATGAATTTAAATAAGCCGTTGCAATTAGCCAAAAAGAGCCGGGAAAATTCTTCCTTAACGTTTTTTTTAAATACTGATACATTATATAGTTTATGTTGTACAAAACCTCTGGCATCAGACCATGCAAATAATAAGTACTACATGGGAAATTTCTGCAATTTGATTGGCTTACAGCAGTGGTATTTCAGCTTAATTTGAAATACCTACATGTGAAAATTTATTTGGGTGGTAGTATAAACAAATAACAGCATGATTTGAGCGGGATATTTCAAAATTGTCTCAAATTTCACTAGCCTAACGACTCGTGAAATTACGTATAGCAATTTCGAAATATCACTCGTGGTATTTATTCCAAATATCACTACAAATCATGCTGTTACCTATACTAATCTTTATCTTTCTTTCAAAGAAAGCTGAATTCGATTGGAGTTCAAAGCTTCAAGGTGGGTATGTTACACACTATTCATAAAGCCCCGTGCAAACGGACGCAACATTGTTGGCCAATAACTCCCAATATTGTTGGATGTTGCATGTTGCGTCCGTTTGCACACCCTGTTCCATGTTATTGAATGTTGTTGTGTGTTGTTGGGAGTTGTCGCATCCGTTTGCATACAACAGCTAACAAGGACACAACAACTCTTAATATTGCATTGTTGGCCCAACAATGTTGCGAGTTGCTGCGTCCGCTTGCTCGTAGCTTAAGAAAGACGTTTTTACAGGCAGCATCTTGCTATGTCAGTCTAATACTAGACGCAAAATTGATCAAACTCGAGGATATGAGAACGCTTACGCTCATTTTGAGTCTCTGTGACAGCGCAGCTCCATAGCTAAGAAAATTTGGTTACTATACATGCAAGAGAGTTTGCTAGTCACCTGACCGTACATCCCCACCTGCCCGTCCGCACCAAAGGAAACCAGTGTGAAACGTTACACTTTCTAGCTAGTGCGTCGCTAGTGTGGGAGCCTAGCTGCAATCTGATATTGCTCATCAATGTTGTGATCAATTGACTGCTGTCAAAACAACGTATCCACTCACCAGTATTACATGACCGTATAGCGGGCTCCGGTGTCAACCCAATCTGATCAATACGATTCAAGTTAATAAGATATACATATAGAAATACCACTTGCTTGTTTTTTAAAGATAACGCGTTTTTTTTTTCACAAAGGAACAATTCTTGGCGCATTTTATTACGGCTACACTGCTATGCAGATCCCAGGAGGCTGGCTTGGTCAGCGGTTCGGAGGAACAAGAGTGTTCGGAATCTGTCTCGGAATTGCTTCGATCCTGACTATGCTAACGCCAATAGCGGCACGAACAAGTGTCGCTGCTCTGATTACTCTCAGGGTGATAGAAGGGCTTGCGTTGGTAGGTTCTTTAACTAATTTCCTTGATTTTAACAAACCATTCGCTTTCCAAACTCCGATACTACCCTTTTCAAAATTCTGTCAGCTGCAAGACTCTCCTATGAAATAAATGTTTGTTTATGTTGTTTCATATTTTTAATGAGATTTGAAGACTAGTTTAATTTAAACGATTTCGCTAGCCTGAGAAAACAGCCGACATTTTGCGACGCTACCACTGGTTTCCCCGCCAAATGACGTCTGAGAAACGAGCGCAGAAATTCCATACTGATGACGCGTCACTTCCCAAATCTGGGTAATGCTTCTGATTGGTCCTGCCGCGTGGGAAATTTGATGCAATCAATCAGAAGCACTACCCAGATCTGGGTAGTGACGCGTCATCAGTATGGAATTTCTGCACTCGTTTCTCAGACGTCATTTCGCGGGGAAACCAGTGGTGGCGCCTCGAAATGTCGGCTGATTTCTCAGGCTACGATTTCGCACTTATCCCCGCAAAAGGGTTGGGAAATTCCGAAATGGCTTTTTTAAAAACTCATTTCTCTTTCATTTCTGATGAATCGAAAAGGGAAACGAAGGTCCAGACCAATTCTGTACTGTAAAATGTTTTGGCTCCTTTCTTACCATACCGTTGTAATAAATACTATCTATGTGTTACCATGTTCCAAAGAGTAAGTAAGTGAATATTGCTGGGGGTTAAAGAAAAGGAAAGGAGAAGTGACAGAAATAATTGTAGTAACTTTGCATACTTCGAGGCCTTCTCAACTCTATGCTTAATGAAAGAACCACCCTCAGTCAGACATTAGTTGTAACTATGAGATTTTTCTGTTTCACGCCTTCTAAGGGAGCCCTTTTCCCTTGTAACCACGCCATCTGGAGCAAATGGGCTCCGCCCGCAGAGAGGACTCGACTGTTCACGATCACTGTCGCAGGTAAAAAAAAGCCATCAAGTCATATATGTGGTTATCTTTTACTTTTAGGCCTCCATTCAAAGACCTTTCTCAACTCACCCTGTAGAGGTGTGCCGGTTATTGAATCCTTAACTGAGTTTCAGAGCCGTTAACTTTAACTTTTATATTACTAAATTTTCAGTAATAAAAATGCAAGGAAATAATTGTATCCAAGAAAACTGGGGAAAACCTCGAACAGGATTTAACAATCCCTTTCAAGGAGGTCACCACAACTAAATGAAATAATTAAGAGACTATTTTACAAATGTATAATGAAACGTAATTAAATAAATAAAGCTTAACATTAGGCAAGCCGTACAATCTCGGAGAAAAAGATTTAGCTTAATGGCACTAAGCTCTCTTTCACTGCAGAGAAAAGTCTCTGCATGAATTGAGGGCTTTAGGGTCTTGTATGACTGACCTGTATTTTTTCAGAGCATTATCAGTTGTTTTGGCGTGTTAATCCGATGACAAACGATACTGATTCCGATTCTCTTCAAGAATTATATAAAAAATGTTTCTTATATATCACGCGGGGATTTAACACTGAATCATGTCATTAACAAACAGAAAACAGGCAGCGTGGCCGAGTGGTGGCCGAGTGATCAGCGCGTCGGACTCGCAATCCGGCGGTCCCGGGTTCGAGTCCCGCTCTGGCCACTTGCTGGATTTGTGCTCGGTCGTTCCGAGTTCAACTTCTCGGCCACGCTTGTAAATAGCCAACTGGTTGCCTTCTGCCAGTTGGGGTTTTTAATCCTGTTATGTTGTATTTGAATTATTTGTTTCTAATATTTGAGTGGAGTGCCTGTAAATTAGCTGGACAAGCTAAGTGCAATTTCCTCTATAAACAAGCCTTTAACCTAACCTTTTAACCTTTTTAAAACACAAGTCAGATTTTATCGGTGTTAAAAGTTTTGGCTTTTTTCATCAGACCTAGTTCTTTTTTGAAATTCAGATTTGTAGCAACTTGGATATGAAAAGATTCACTTACCCAAATCGAGGTGCACTAATCGTCTCCCAAAAAAAAACTTGAAATCAACACTTTTTATTTTCCACAGGCCTCTATAAATTAAGAAACCTAACGCGCTTTTTTTTCATGTGAAGGTTGTCCAGTTGGTACCATTCTCTCTATGCCGCTTAGTGGTATCATGTCTAAATATGGTTTCGATGGCGGTTGGGCGTCTGTCTTCTACTGCTTCGGTAAGAGCCTGTAAGAACATCAATTGTATTATGTTTTTGAAAACCTAATTTCTTTCTTTAGTGTATACTTTTTACGCAGTATCTGTTCTCGTGATTTTGTTTTCATCAACGTATTTTAATAGCAAAATTTGCGAGCAGATACCTTTTTATGATTTTTTTCTGGGTTTTCTATTTTTCTTTTTCAACGCCGGCAAAAAAATCTTGATGACTGTGCATGTAGTGGGTGATATGTAAAATCTCAAGCTAAACCATTCCTAGTTTTATTCAGAATTTCCTTTGTATTTTAGCCTTCGGAGACAAATGAAATTTTGTTCAAATTCATTATATTTAAGGAGGATGAAATAAAACAAAGTAAAATACCGTGTGATCAAACAGTTACTTTCAATTGGTTGTTTAGGCGCAATTGGCCTTTTGTGGTTCTTTGTCTGGCAGCTAGCGATCCATGGCTCCCCATCCGAGCATCCAACCATTTCCCCTGAAGAACGAGACTACATAGAAAAAAGTATAGCACTACTACCACCTGCAAAGGTAAAGTGAGAGTTGATATAATAAACACTAGGTGGAAGAGTGTTCCAAATGGTTATCAAAACAGCGAGGTCTGCCTTTGCAATATTTCTAACTGATATCAATGTGTTGAAGTTTATTCAGTTTATTTTTCATTAAAACATAATAATAATAATAATTTATACAGCGCTCATATCCTGAGCTCATGGCGCTTTACGATGTAAAAAAGGGGAAAATGAATAATTTACATATCACAAAAAATATTAAAAATTATATTTACAATCATTATATTACAGGTCTTAAAATCATAAAGTTTACGAAAACAATGACCCACTCTCTAAAAATTGCCTAAAAAAATATGTTTGCAATTCTTTCTTAAAACCAGTTAAAGATGGTGACTTACACAAATCTAATGGCAGTGAATTCCACAGTTTAGGGGCACACACTGAAAAAGCCTTGTCCCCGTAAGTTTTCATTTTCGTGATTGATAGAGGTTGGTCTAACAGCTGCTTAAATGCGGACCGCAAGAACATAAAAAGTTCTCTTTAATTTCGTCTAGTGACAAGGCCAATGCTCAATCGACGTCACCATTTTCCCACTTTTGATTAACTAACGGTATGAATCGTTTGTCACGAAGATGTGCAGTTATCCTGACGGCAGAGTTTTAATTTTCTATAGTTTTTCAGAAAGATAGAAGTATTCTACTTTGTAACAAATGAATCGAGTAGACAGGAATACACAACATGATTAGATTAAGGCAAACTTGAACCAAACTTAAGCCTGCTATCATTTTTTTTTGTACTTCAGAAAGGGCAAGTTCCATGGAAATCCATTATTACTTCCGGTCCCGTGTGGGCCATCATAACGGCGAACTTCACCGCCGACTGGGGCATGTACACGATCCTGATCTGTCTACCTAAATATTTCATCGAGGTTTTGCACTTTGATCTTGCTAAGGTACGTGCTATGCCAAACGTAACGAAAACAAGTGCTCAAGGGGTACTTGTGTCACTGACCTGCGTAAACTTTTTTATCAGAAAACTGTAAAACATACGTATTCCGGATTAAATGGGCCCTTAAAGAAAGACTAACTGATTAACTAAGAGGTGCTTGGGGCACAAATTAGGTAATGCAGACTAATTTGTGTACGGGGGGCCTGGGGAAAACATATAAAAATAGGTATGCAAGGGATGCTTGTACACTGAACTGCTTTATGTTTGAAACCTTTACATTGGCTCAAAATAGGCACGCAAGAGGTGTTTGTGTCATTGATGTTATGTATATCCCACAGCACAAGAAACGTACGTCCGCTTTTCATAAATCATCAAAAGTTAAATATTTGGATACTAAATTAGCCTGTCCCTTTGATTCCTTGATTAACAGACAGGATTCCTAGCCGCCTTACCATATGTCGTGAAGGCATTTGTCGGGCCAGCAGGAGGAGTTCTTGTTGACTGGCTCATTAAGAACAAGATGACGGTGAAGAACACCAGAAGATGCGTTTTCACAGTTGGTAAGATAAATAATTTCATGTGGCTGAACAAATCCCTTTCGATTAAATAAGTGTGAACTTCATGAGGGTATTATGCATCCTTAAGACATTCAAAATGAGTCAGCCACTTTTTGGTGTATCGAAAGCAATGAAAATAGAACCTTATCTTTAAAGAGGATGCCGCACGCAGGTTTTAAAATAAAGACATTGCTTATTGCGAGACTTGACGAACCCGACGCACTCCCTCTTTGGTTTCATCGTAAGTTACCAGCAAATCGGCGATACGTTTTTTCATCGCAAACACTTAAAGGATTCGAGGACTAACAATTGTTCGCGCGGTCTCACTCTATTATTTTATAGCCGGCGTTGTAGACGTCCTCCAACCCATTTCCGCCCGTGTATAATTTATGGAGACTGTTATTTTCCTTCCTCCAGGTTGTACAACAGCGTCGTTATTTATTCTGATCACTGGCTACGCCTCGTCTCCAGCTCTTGCTGTTGCCTTTCTCACTATTGGTGTCGGTATAACCGGTCTGAACGCTTCCGGTTACGCCGTCAACATTCTAGATATTGCGCCTCAGTATGCAGGCGTAATCATGGGTGTAACTAATGTGTTTGGTGCTTCGCCAGGCTTTATCAGCCCGCAGATTGTTGGGATTGTAACTCCTAATAAGGTAATACGAAAGCTCTTCATATATTGTCTTATGAATACAAAGATTAGGTTGTTAACGATGCACTGAGGGAAAATCTGTTTTTTGTACAACTTCAAAAATCCAAAAAAGCTTTACTTGTTTAGCACTGGCAAAAGGAAAATACTCTCCAAAGTTTATTTCGAGACAGCTATTCATACGAGTAGAAATTGTTTTCATGTTCATTTCATGTTCTTTCATAATTTAGAGATCATGGAAAGCTATGATGGAAAGAAATATCGTCTTGAAAAAGACGAGCTAACGATTAATTATTTGTGTTTTAGATGAAAATGAAACTAACATAATTATATCTCCACTAGTTTAAAAACTTATTTCACTTAACTCTTGATTCATGTGAATAAACTGATTGAAATAAAATTTTGTCCAACAAAAATATTAATTCTAAGGAGCAGCTCATGTCGATATTGTTTCAGTGGAACACTTTTTTGCATTTAAAAAATTAATTTGTAATTCTTAGGCAAAATAGTGAGTGAGCATGATTTCTATTGGACAATACGTATATGAACAAGGTCAACTCCAGGTTCGCATTCGCTCCAAGCCTAAAACCATAAATTAGTCAACTATACTTTGGTATTAATACTGGCTTTGTCAAGCTATGTAATCATCGTGTTGTCTACAGAACTGATTAAACTGTTCAAATGTAACTTAAGTTTAATTATTCTTTCTTTAGACTGCTGGCGAATGGAGAATTGTATTTTGGATCACTGCCATAGTCTATATCATCGGTATCGTGATCTTTGGTTTGCTGGTGTCAGGTGAATTGGAGCCGTGGGCGAACACGAGTAGGGAAGAGGAAGAGGATGACAAAAAGGGAGGAGAAGAGGAAAAAGGAGAAGAAAAGCAGGATAAATCGGACGAAGAAAAGAAAGATGACGAGAAAGCTACAGAGGAGAACAAGGAAGAAAGCAAACAGGATCAAAAGACAGAAGGAACTCCTTCATAATGATCCGCAGATTTAAATTATAATGCTAGGTCTTGATGTCATCCTAGTTACCAGAAATAAAAATCTTTGACCTCTTAAAGAATATGTGCAAGTTCAACAAAAAAAAATCCATCACCCAACAACAGTCCAAAATTAATTGATAGACTTCTTGGTAAGTAGTTCTTGTTTGAAAGGTTGTTGGTTTTACTCACAGAATAAAAAAATTATAATTTCATTGCATGGCGTTTATATTACAGCTTAGGGGGGACATTATTTTGAGGTGCTCTGTAAAAATTTAACTTAAACTGAGTACCCCGCGTGTCTCATATATTGTCAGGAAACGAGAATTGTTTCCTTATTTGACTTCATCAAAAATACGGGAAAAAAATACGGATTAGACTGCCTACAAACTACTCAGTCACTGGTACTGTTAGCGCTTAATAAGAGCGTTAGAATTGTTATTGGGTTTTTGACCAAAGAAATATTAGATCTTGGTCCAGTTGCATAAAGCAACTTTTAAGAAAAGGTGACTCAATAGAGCTTTTTCACATGCCTTCACGGTGGCTTTATTAGTGTTCTGAAACAATGAAACGGCAGCCATGTTGCTGTCTCAAACAATTCCTGTGGGAGTTTAACTCTCTTTTTTCTATGTATACTGTACGCTTTCTTTGTACCAGCAAATAAGCATAGATGCTGGCCAGGTGAGTAAAAACGCTCTATTCCATATATCCCGAAGAAGAATTTTTTTCACTGCAGTACGGATAACTAGGTGTGGGCGGATTTACTTACGAGAGGGATAAGAAACACAAACAGAAACACACGAAACGGGTGGAAAAGCCCCCCTCCAATCACCCGTTTATCTTAAAATGCTTCATGAAACCTGGTCTTGGGTTTGAAAAGGAAATGTTGTCTTGACTGTCATTGGTACGAAAGTTTGGCACATGTTGCCTGTCGTTGTCACGCGCACTATTTGGTTATTTTTCTAGCTATTACTGAAAATTTTTGCGAATGAATCTACAAAACCGTTCTAACGTATTACGCTCCTTTTCTTCCGTTGTTGAAATCACAGCTTATCTTTTCAGAAAATTTTGCCTTGGTTTTTAATATACTAAATTTCGACCGGAAATTTTCCCAAAGTTCACCGCTAATTAAAGAATTTTTTGCTTATTTCTTTCGCACTAATACTGAATCTGTGAACCGCTCTTCATATTTATTCACCCTTCATCTTCTGGAATTTACAACAAGGCTTCCATTTTCCATCTACGAGTTGTTAAGACACAGAAATGCATTTTTTAACCCCCCAGTGTATTACTTCTCCTTAGCTCGATGAGTTTTACAATTATGCCTTCAAACCCACACGCACACGTATTTAAGCCACCGCCGTATCAATAAAAAAAACTTTCAAAAGTCCTTCAAGAATTTCTAAACTTCGTTCAGTTAAGGTGATGTTACACGGGACGATTCGCAACGACGATTTTTTAGCGTAACACAGCGTTGCAATGTTGGAACAATGTTGTAATCATTCGAAACAATATCGCAACAATGTTGCAAAGCTGTGCTGCGCTAAAAATCGTCGTTGCGAATCGTCTCGTGTAACATCACTTTTAATCTGAGCGGTTACGACATTGAACGTTGTTTATTAAGCGCATATACAGCTATATAGAGGGCTATATCACAAAAAGAGTGATAAAAGAGCAATAAAAAGATAAATACTAACATTGCTTATATTACCGTTTATTGGTCCTGTTGTCTATTTCCTTGTTCCTTTATTTATATTATTTCTGAGTACAGTAAGCGAAAAGCCAGAAACTACAAATAAGTAGCGGGATCTCGGATACAGTGAATAACATCCTTAATACCCACAAGAAAAGAAAAGCTATGTCTCGCAAGTCAAATTGTCCACTCTTCAAAATTATCGTTTTGACTCCAGAGGGGTTGCCGACAATTTTATACGGAAAGGTTCCGCCCTGAGGTCCAACCCCTTACCCTTATATATCCCATTTTTGACAGAAATGGCACTGTACAGTACGGCAAATGATCCCCAAAATGGACCGCAAATGATCCTGTGAAAAATTGAGGAAGAGTGGATCTTTTTTTTGGCTATTAGATGAAGAATGGGGCTGTTTACAACGTAACCTGCGAGGGAAAAAAGGAGCCTTTTCCTTTACCCTTTTAAGCAAACCTGACATTTATTGGGTGATTCTTTCGACAAAACTGATTGCTTCATGCTTCATGCAAATAGTTATCAGCTCAGCACAGTTTTTTGTACCCGTTTAATTGTTTGTCTAAGACAGATAAAATTATAACTCAAATTCTATTTTATATTATACACCTTCCTAACCCTTCTCATCGGCGTCCCATACTTCTTGACGATTCTATTTCCCACTATACAAAGGTTTAACTTGTTATGTTTCGCTGACTTCAATATAATGGTCACCGAAAATGCCTCTAACGAATAGCTCTAGGTAGGTTCACAGCGGGGCCTTAGGTTCTGTGGAATTCTGTTCAGCTCAGTCACACAGAATGTTTGCCAGTAAAAGATAAAACATTATATATTTGTTAATACCACCGCAAAATACCACTCTGAGCTGCTATGGGACTAACATTACTTTGCTTGTTTCCATAAAACAAGTTTTAGGTCATAAAGGTTTCTAACGAAACCTTTTTTTAATTATTATTTACAAAGAATGCGTTGCTTGGTAATAGCCAGAGATATGCAGGTAAATGTATGAAAGTACCAGCAGAAAATAAAATTATAAATGAACCACCTTTAAAAGCCCAATATGGCCGACCAAACGTGGATAAGGTGTCCACCGAGAATATTTTCCGCACCATAACGCCAAGATGATGTGCCCTAGAAAGAAACTTCCAAGATGACAGAGTCTACAGGAAACTTGGAGTCAGGCCTAACTCGATTCTTGAACAGCCTCTACGCTTGTTTTCGCTTTATGTCAAGATTTTTAGTTCTTTGTCAATTCTGTGAATGCCCTACAATTAAACGAAAGAAACGGTCAGCAAATGGCAATGGAGAGGAGAGAACTGAAAAGTCTGATTGCGATAGAGGTGGTGGAGCTGTTAGCAGAAGTTTTAGCTTTCCTAAACGCTATATCCTAATGATAATGACTTTCCTTGGTTTTATGAACATGTACGCTTTGCGTGTTAATTTGAATGTCGCTATCAGCGCAATGGTGAATAATCATACAATTCACCAGAAAGGATACACCGTTATACGGGTAAGAATTTACTTTTTTCCTTTATTCTTTTAAGGCCAGTCCTAATTTTAAAATGGCAAATAATTGCTATCTTATTTTTAGCTTAAAGTCTGCTATGAAACATTCATGTGTTATCTATTGTTTTGATTTAAAAACAGGTTAATAGTTTTTTTTGTTGACTGAAGTCACTCTTTCAGTGTTATATTTTATTTTAAGGTAACAATTAAATCTTACTTAAGTGCATTATTTTAAAAGTTAATCCTGATAAGTTCATATATCGCCTGCATTTCATGCATACAGCTATTTAGAGAAAGATTGTTGGAAAAAAAAGCACACGACAATCCCGAAAGCTATTTTGGGTGATTTAAGTTCACTGTTTTCAAACAAAATTTGAAATAGTGGCTCGAGAGGTCATGGTCGTATGTTTACGAGTACTAAAGGAAAGCAACAAAATTAAGTTCGACAGCTACAGTATCAGGAACAGTGTATTGATCATATCCCATACTATCTTTCGGGATTGTCGAGTGCACATTTGTTGTCCGAGGTCTTTGACCAGCAACCTTTCTCGAAATAGCCGTATACACTTGAGCCTTGCAGTTTCTAAGGCGCAAGGGCTTAAATCAGTAAAACGTCATGCTTTAGTTATTTCAGCGCGGATGTAAACAGGTTTCTTAATGGAAGATCATAAGACGTGAGTGCGCTTTCACCTTTAGCATCAGAATTCTGTGGAGGGTCACAAATAAAATTTGGAGGGAAAAAATTGGGGGAAAGGGGAGAAAATGAACGGGTGTGGCTGCCCCTTTCTCCCCCCAAATTTCCTCTCGGCTTCAGGCTTAGCTTGCCTTTTGTCATTTCTTAAGCGAGAAGCTCTACCCAATGGCAAGTACATATCCAATGGGCATGCACGCCTGTTTTTTTATCAGCCATCCAACGACCAGAGACCGAGCCTACATGTGCGTCGGAAATGTGTGCTAAGGGGCTATTTACATTGAGGGATGGAGATCGTAGAAGGCGGACAACAACTTTACTTTGGGTTTAAAGTAGAGAAGGATCGAGAAGGAATTAAAAATGGCTGGCGACAAAAACAAAAATGCAATTTCGGCCCTTCTGCTTTCTTCACTGCGTTAATAACTACCTTTCAACAGAATTACCATAATAATCAGCTCATGGTAACGCCAAACGAAATGGTCGGCCTTCATTGCCATGATAAGCCACTGAACGACCTGCCGCCAATTTTTAATGGTTTGTCCCTAGTACTAGGATCTTTCTAGCGAAGGCAGTTTACATGGTGCTAGGATCTTCCTAGTTCTAGGAAAATCCTATAGCGTTAGGGACGAGTTCAACCCTTTGTATTGATGTCGAATACAGAAAACATATGCCGCGAGGATGATCCGCCTTCTAGGATCTTTCTGGTACTAGGATCTTCCTCCCTCCATGTAAAAAGCCTCTAAATATATTTGCAGATCAGTACATTTACACCAGCGAACGAAAATAAAATTACGCAGTGATAGGGGATCCAGGATAGACTAAATTTACCAGGGTACATCTATTTAGAATTTGGTGAAACGTCCCGCTCATCTGAATATTAGCCTTATTTCGGTGTGATTAATCTAATTCATTTTCCATTGATCGAGAAGCCTGTCGTTACGTTAAGTTCCATTTGATAACTTATGTTGATGTTCTGTTCTGTTAGGAAGCCGAGTTTGACTGGGACTCAAAACTCCAAGGTATGAAACTTTTCAGATATGCCTCGACAGTTGCGAATTTGAAGTGCCAAACATCTTTACTCATATAGAGACAATTTACTCAACAAATCGCGCTAAAACTCCGCCCAAGAGAGCAAGGTTGACGTGCTTCGCTCAAAAATGTCTTTTCTTAAGTTTACTTATGTCCCTCCAGGTCGACTTGCTAAAGAACAATCACATGATTTTATTCATAGGTATTGTGTTAGGTTCATTCTACTATGGTTACGCCTTCCTACAGATTCCTGGCGGCTACCTCGCACTCAAGCTTGGCGGCACCAGGATATTTGGATATGCCATTTTTTTGGCCTCCATGTTGACTCTCCTGACTCCTGTGGCTACTCGGTATAGTGTATATGGATTAATAGCTGTCAGAGCAGGAGAAGGACTTATGCTGGTATGCCCGGAATACCTTTTTTTAATGTGAGACTCCAATAGCAAAGACTGGGGCTACGTTCAAACCACACAAGACGAATTTTCTTGCGATCGGTCGATCGAGGTTGAAAATAATTGCATTTAGGCGTTCTATTAACACAAAACTACTTTCACCGTACGAAAATTTAGACGGCTAGCCATTCTAAAATTTTGAATGCCAAAATCGAGGTCAAATTTCTAGACAATAATGTCGAAAATATGACCAGCGCGGTGTTATTACCATGACCATCTAAAGTTTTTGTACCCCAAAGGCGTGGTTGAATAGATGCTAGGTCACCCAGCTGGGAGACGCTCATTTAAAATTTGCTAAGTAGCGCTCTGTACATGGGTAAAACCACTGACGAAAGTTTCAAAAATTGAAGCCGGTTTTCATTTCCGTAAACAGAGCAAATATATGGAAAAGTTCAGTGTGTACGAATCGTCCGGTCAAATTTATCAGCCGGTCGAAAACTCGTCCGCTGCCGTGTAAACATAGCCTAAGAGGTAAGAAACTTTCCGGTTAATCAGTTCTAAAATAGGACATTAATTGTCTTCCTAATTGAACATTTGAGTATGTGGACCAAACTCTTGATCAGCCTATCATGTAACCATTCAAACTAAACTTCTTTAACGGTAATTTCACGGAGTACTATTTGATTAGTCTGTGGTTGTAATTTTTGAGCCTGCGTATAAAATCCTATGGTGTACCATTCAGATGAAAGATCTTCGTTCCGCAGTACCTTCTCTTAATACTTTTTGTGTTACTGCTGTGCCGAAAATGAAATGTAGGGTGATGTACTTTTTTACTTATCGCTTAGGGCGCTGTCTTTCCATGTAACCACGCAATATGGAGTAAATGGGCTCCACCTTTGGAAAGAACAACACTCGTCACCATGGCAATTTCAGGTGAGACTGCACGGAGCTTGCCATCTTTAAATGTTGGAGTAGCAGCGAGTATTAGCTCCCTGGTCAAATTTTTAGTTGAACTGCTAGTCCATCAGGATGTCCTTTGAATCAGGAGTCATGAGCAGAGTTAGGACTATTGAGGCTAAGAAGGATATAAATGAGAAATTTATTGTTGAAGAGCAATTTTGCTGCTGTGCTGAAGAAATCTTTTTTGTCTTAGTTTTTCAGAAAATGGCACCCCGCATGACATTGCTGTCTAATTATTTTTGTCATTTAGTTTGTTATTTTTAGTTTGTTATTATTTGTTATTGTTAATTTGTAATTGCGTAAATTGCTATTACAACAGCGACGATAATATCATCATTTAACATGGAATCCGCAGTTTATATCATCTTCATTCCATGTACCATTTATAAAATGAACTCAACAAATTGGCGTGCTCCCAATTTGTGAGTCTTTACAGCGCAGTTGGTAGAGCACTGCGTTACTAATGTAGAGGCCATAGGCTGGAATGCCAACGAAACACCCAAATTTTGTTTCGATCTGATTAGCAATTGCTTAAATTGCTACTACCTAAACTACTGCGACGAGCATATCTTCATTTGACTGAAAATCTGTTTTTATTGTTGTCTATTAGGTTGTCACGTGGGCACCATCATAACGATGCCATTATCTGGACTGTTAACAATGTATGGTTTTGATGGAGGCTGGGCATCGGTATTTTATTGCTTCGGTGAGTCCAACGTCGAGAATAACCAAGAAAATAAGTATCATGGCATTTAACATTGTTAATTTAACATTTATAAGGTGAAATTAAGGACGGAAAGACTAGAAGTTTTATCAGACATCTAAACATTTTATGGTGAAATGATTTCCTCTATGAACAGAACGCTTCCCACTTCGTATCTGGTGGTTAGGACTTAAATTTGGTCAGGCTATGGCGTTTTAGCTCCTCACTTTCTCTATCCACCAATGTCCATACATCCTAAATGGGTACCTGCAATAAAGGGAGCTAAAGCAAAGCCGTTTTTGAGACCATTTTATTTTCAATACGCCCTGAAGCAACCAAATTTGTCTTGCTAATTGTCTAAGTTATGGAAGAATAACCTCTGGTAGCAATATATACTCCTAACTGCTACATTATGTTGTTATGCAGGAGCGGCTGGAATACTGTGGTTCGTAGCCTGGCAGCTGATTGTTCACGATTCACCTTCAGTACATCCAACTATTTCAGAAGATGAGAGAAATTACATCGAACGAAGCTTTGATAAAGGAAACGTAAGTCAGAGTATTGTGTGGCATTAAGGTCACAACTAGACGTATGTTTTAAGAACATAAAATTATGTTGCAGTCAAATTAGTAAGTCTTTTAAAATTATATTTGAAAAAAATATGACTTAGTTGTCAGATAATCATGAGATAAATTAAAGGGAAAATGTTGACGTTTTCTCCAGAAAAACTACATCTCATTTAGAGTGGAGAGAAGAAAAATCAACCTTCGGACCGGTCATATAGTGATTTTTTGATTTAGAACAAAAAAGAATTAAGTCGATCGACTATGAAACAAAGTAGGGGTCAAAATTCATGAGTAAAAACTGCAATTCTGACCCGCTCAGAGACATTTGTTGAGATAGACATTCATCATATATGATAATATCATGTGTCGTCGAAGTAGCCAGTGAGACCGCGCGCCGCTACAGCATTGTCAAGCGATACATACGTTTCGATGCGTTGTTCTATTTTAAATAAGTTTTTTGTTTACGATTTAGGAAAATGCAGCGATTCCATGGAAGTCCATTCTGACATCAGTTCCGGTGTGGGGAATTATGTTTGGCAACCTGTCCTCAGACTGGGGACTATACACCATTCTCATCTGCTTGCCAATGTTCCTTCTTGATATCTTACACTTCGATATACAGACGGTATGCAAACCTCAAAGGCAAAACATTGATTGCTAGATGGTGTGGACTAATTATCTGACCGCTTGATTTCATGTTCGAAAGACTACGGTCTAATTTTACCTCTGAACGGAAATCTGTCCGTTCTAAACATTAGCTTTGGCCCAAAAAAGAGAGATATAATAGATTATTCTCTCTTGGTCCAGACTAGCATAAGAGACCTTCAGATTCCAACACGAGGACGACTGCGAGAACGAGATTTTCTTAATTGTATACTAAGAAGTGCGCGAGCGTAAACCAGCGTCACTTTGGCGGGAAAACGCTTTGCGATCGGTAGAGGGTTTAACCTCATTCAATAAAAATAAGCTTGTAGACTTTTCTGGTGCACAAAAGTGAAGAGAATCATTCCAGGGTGTCTATTTTTTTAAGAATAAGTGAAAAAACTTTCGCAAATCTCGTCCTGGTAGTCGTTCTCGAATCTAAATGCTTCTAAATAAGAAATAAGCTCTGTAATGGGGAGCTTGCGTTCCTTCTCTTTGCGCTTGTATTAAGGAAGTTCGACTGTAAGATGGCTGTTCGTTTGTTTGTTTTCATTTGATCCTCAACCATCATTTATTATTTACAAAAATAAACATTAGCTGTTCACATGGATCTTTCGAATTATTTTTAAAAAGTTTACTGACAATCACAGAGCTGTTCACCACTTTGGACCGGCTGACTATATATTCCCTTATCTTACTTGCGCGCAGATGGGTTTCCTCGCTGCTACGCCGTTCTTGGTAAAAGCTCTCTCGGGTCCCTTTGGTGGCATTACGGCTGATCTCTTGCAAAGGAGAGGACTAAGTACCAGATCTGTCAGAAGGCTATATTTTGCTGTTGGTAAGGATTCTAAGGCCTTAGTAATACGGAGCGATCTACCGCCTCTTGGGCTCTGCTTGAGAGAAGGGAAAGTTGAGGGGGCGGGGGAGGGAAGGGAGTAAGAATAAGGATGAAACTTAAGAGACTCTTTAACGCATAATATCAGGCGCTGAACATCTTTGACGTCAACTAACCACAAGACTGCTTTTGATCATATTTGCACAAAAAAGGCGCGTTATAAATATTTTATCATTATCATTATCATCATTATTATCATTATTATTATTATTATTATTATTATTTAACATGATGACTTTATTTCACATTTTATTTACTGGCCCCTGTTGGGTACATCTCAATTCTATTCAGTTGGAAGTTCCTACAAATTAATTCTTTATCCTTAAAATTTTCTTTAATTCTTAGGCGCCTTGGGAGCAGGCACATTCATCGTTGCCGCGGGTTACGCCAAAACAGCCACAATAGCGGTCACGTGTATGTGTATCGGCGTCGCTGCCTCTGGTTTGATGCATTCTGGGTATAATGTTAACATGTTAGATATTGCTCCGCGGTATGCTTGTATAATCATGGGTCTGACCAACACAGTGGGAACAATAACTGGTTTTCTCAGTCCTATGATGGTTGGATTTATTACTGTGAATAAGGTCAGTGACTTATATTCAACAGACCGTCCAACGGTTTTTTTCAACTTTCGACATGGACCAGTGAGTGAAAATCGGTTAACACCGCTGCAAACAGATGCTATAAATCCAGGCCTAAAACTTCGGGACAAAGAATTTACGGCAGTACAATTGCCAAGTTTAAAAGTTATTTAAAAAGAAGAAATCTCATACGATTTTACCGCCGTTTGTAGACTCTTTTGTATGGTGAGGGACAACTACTTGTTACTTACCAGTCACGTTACCATACAAATCTTCTGCCGGTACAATTTTACTAGCTTGAAGAGCTATACCTTCGCTAAACATTTAGCGCCGTATCACTCTCTAACTTGGCAAAATTAGAGTATTAAGGCACTCTTTTCGGCGGTGTCGATGGATCTTCGCCGAATGATCTTCATCAAAACATGAAGAAAAAAGCACGTGATTTCATGGTATATTTTTATAAACTCACTCTTCTCCAACATTTTTAAGCCTACAAAAAAGTGTTTTTTTCTTTTTTTCCCACTTTAGAAAGCTGAAGAATGGCGGACAGTGTTCTGGATCACGTTTGTTATATACGTCGTAGGAATGCTTCTCTTTTGTCTGTTGATGTCGGCCGAGTTGCAGCCATGGGCAACAGGCCGTGAGGGTCCGAAAAAGAAGGCAGAGAGGAATTACACATGGCAGAGCAAAGTTAAACGTCTTCAAATGTACTAGCCTGAGAAAAAACCCGACATTTCTCGACGATACTGCTGGAATCCCTGTGAAGTGACTTCCAAAATTAAAAACGAGCAGATATTTCATACTGACGACGCGTCACTACCCTGATGTGGGTAGTGTCTCTGATTGGTTGAAAATTTGCTTAATTAACCAATTAGAGGCACTATCCTCATCTGGGTAGTGACACTTCATCAGTATAGAAACATTTCGCGGGCAAATGCAGTGGTGACAAAGAAATGTCGGCTGTTTTCTCAGGCTACAAATGTTTAGACAATGTTGTAACACTGAGTCACTTGCATAACTAATTTTAAATTATTGGATAAATTTTACTTGATAAAAACCTGATTAGATTTGTAACCATTTAAAGGAAAACTTTCTCCGCGGCATTTCATGAATGACGGCAATGAATCAACAGTTGATTTTTTGTAAGTATTCTTCAGTACTGGGGTCAATTTAAGAAAACTTTTACAACGTAATTTATATTTTCGATATATTTACAAGAGTAGTTATTGGTTTCAGAATCTAAAACAATGGCTACACCTGTAAACTACACTTGTAAAAGTTTTATTAAATAAACCCTTGATAGAGCCATACATTAGCCGCCACTCAGCGGAGTTTTTATTAACGTGTTTTCCACAAATCTTTGATGACAAAGAACCCATTAATGAGATCCAAATATTTCAAACAGAGTAGCGCACGCAGATTGTATCACTTCTGAGTTAGTTTGAAACCGCACGATGTCGATCTTCTCCAAAACATTATGGATTTTCTAGATTCTTAAAAATACGTAGAAAACATGCATTTCAAATACTTTTTCGAAAGGCAACAGTAGCGTGGCTTCCAACTCACGTTATTAGACGCTTTCACTCGATTTTCGGCGAATGTCGAAGAAGCGCGACAGTAGAGCCCTATAGCTTAAGAAAAGGTTAACCAGTGTTCGAAAGAGCTTTCAGGAGATCCATAATGCTTATCTATATATGCAGGGGCGCTAGCAGAATTGTATAAAAATTAATGCAAACGCGGGGTATTTAGATTAGTGAATTGTAGATTTTATGTTTATGTCGTGGCCTTTATGACTAACTCCATAGTTTTTTTTTTAATAATACCATCAATGATAACAATAATAACAATAACAATTAATCATAATAGTTTTTCAGAGCAAAGTACGATAGTCTCGATGCTCTAACAAAATGTACGAATTATCATGGTATACGACGTATATTTTTCAATGTAGTACTTTACTTTTTTGTGCAGCATAGGTTAACGCAAACGTTGATGTCTCTAACTGAAAATAAACACATTGTGATTAGAAAAGCAATATCCTTTGTTTTCGGAGTTATCTTATCCTTTGTTATGAAAGAAAGAGGAGGATAGCGCGCATTTGATACAGTCCATTACTGCTGACGTGCAGTTCAAATAACTGCACAGTAATATGAACACAAGATTTTCCAATGAAGATCGTCTTTGACGTCCTGATAAGTGGCACTGTTTAAGCGAAGATTATTTACACTTCCACAGACATTTAAAGACCTACAGCTCGGGTCATGTGAACAGTGCACTCCGCATTCTGTTTCGCTGTGTACTGTCGCGATAATAACCACGTGATTACTAAGGCTGGCGTCTTCATGAATCCGAATCAGAAGCGAATGTCCTGTCACATCTGTTGGAGGAGGGAGCGAAATACAGGTTGCTTAAGATATTAGCACTGCTTGAGGTGATATACTGCAGTGTAGGGCATAGTATTAACCAAAAAAAACTATCCGGATATAAGCTCCCCGAATATAAGCCTGGACTAGCTTGTATTGAAATGAATCTGATTTTTTACAAGTGAAAAAAGTATTTGTTATCAGCACTGCAATGTAGCTTGTTTTGAAACGCTTTTTTTCGTCTGGTTACAAGCCGTTCCCCTGTTTATAAGCCCTCATAAAACGCCTTACTGAGTTCTATTAGCTCAGGGCTTACGAGCAGAAGTTGACACAATACTAAGCGGAAGACTGACAGAAGTGCAACGAGACAAGGTGTATTGTTAACAACAGGCATAACGGCCAAGAAGTCCCACGACTCCTATTTATCGTCCAACTCATTGTTTCAGCAATTCAACTTTCCACTGGCATTAGTGTTCGTATTCCCGCGTTATACATGGCAATAGCGTCGCCGTGTTTCCAAGGATACTTCGGTCTCGAAATCTAATGTAGATTAAGCAAATAGGTGAAATTCGAGAATTCCTGTTTTGGTTGAGGTATCTCTGCAGTTCGTGTTCAAAGAGAATACAGAGATTAAGATTCACGTTTACGCCAAACGGCAAACGTGAATTTGCACCACGTGACCAAGTTTTCCCCCTATTTTTCGTTTACCGTTTATTGCTTCTACACAAAAATAAGTAGTTTTATGCTAGTTTTGTCCACAAGAATCGTTCTGGACCTTTTTTAACTGCTTATTTTCTATTCTGAGAAATTCTCCACTGACGTTTGCCGTTTGCCGCATGCGGTAAACGTGAATCTTAATTAATCTCTCTATTAGGGAGCTTAAGCAACGACGACGGGCGACGGCAGCGAGAACGGCAAAAAAGCAATAAGTTTAGATTGGTAAAACAACAACTTTGCACGGCCCAGTTCTTAGAAAGATGGTTACGTTTAATCCAAGATTGACCCAAATTTTGAGCAAGGTTTCCTTGTCTAAGAACATGCAACTCAAGCTTACGACATACTGTAATTGAGCCTTTACTCTGAGATATAGTTATGACAACACAAAATGTTACTCTAGGCAATGCATCAGAAAGGTAAATGCAAAAAGTAGAACAAAATTTTAATCCTTGATTAGCGCTAATCGGCCTCTCAGGTACCAGCAACGACGACGGCGACAGCAACGAAAACGGCAAAAAAGGAATAGGTTTAGATTGGCATGCTTTATGTGTCTTTCTAGCCGTCACTGAACGATTACGACGTGAAACGGCCTAATTTCACGTTTTGTAGAGGACTCGAACACATTCAACTCTAGAAACGTTCGCCAGCATTTGGCGAGCTGAACAAGACGTAATAATGGCGATAAAGCTTGAAGCAACGCGAATTCCCTTTTCAAGTGATGTTTTCTTAGCCGTCGATGTTGCCAGTCACGGTGTTGCTTAAGCTCCCTAACAGGTATTGTAATCGAAAAACCGGATCGAGCCACCTCAAAACACTAGACTTTACCTTGCCTCAATGCAACATTTCCATATAAGCTTATATACAATTTTCGTGATGTTTCTAAACACTTAAACTACTCCTTGGTAAGACATGAAAGTAATTTGGCTAATGATACTAGGGAGCATACAAGGTTTCACGCGTGAATTTACTGACAACAGTCAACTCTTTTCGTTTTTTTCCTCACACGGGCTTAATTATTCTGAAGTTATAACTTTTGCAACACAACACAATTCATGACAGATCGATCAGAAGTTTCCTTGAAATTCAGGTTTCGTGAATTTTATGTTATCAATGTTAGTGAAGTACTGTGTAAGGTGGTTTGGAATCCGCTTTTTGAAACTGGAAAAGCTGAAAATTTTTCTTCATTTTTAACAGAAAAAAGCTTTTGGATATTATGCAATGGGTGAATTTTAAAAAGACAAATTCAACCAAAACAGATCAAAGCTTATCAGCAGGCAAGGGCGATTTTAATTAATTGTGATCGAGCTTGTTGTTGAAAAACACACAATTAATTGGTGGACGATTAGGACGGGCTGTATGTTTTTTCGAAGGCTACCAAATCAAAGATCCACTAATAAAACTTGACTGATTCCCACGGCAGGATCGTACTCTAAACGCTGTCTTTGCCAAGGCTAATATCAAGTACCTTTTGACAGTCAAAAGATCGTCGAGAAGTTGTCGAAGAAACTAGTCCAGCATTTGCTATATTTGTACCGGCGAGAGAAGAATGTTTGCCGAAGACTAAAATAGGTCATTCAGATGCCTCTAATACTAAATACAACAATTATTGAAACCTCACACTGTGTGTTCCGGTATTAAAAGCTTGTCGCTGAGTCAGTCCCGGTTTTATCTGCCGGTAATCCCAATAAGCGACGTCATCAGCTAAAAATGAAAAAAAAAAAAACGATTCTCTTCGAGTTCGAAAAAATGAAATGGGGATGTTGCCCCAGTCTGTTTTAAAATTTAAAAGTAATGAGGATACTACTGTTGACCACTTGGAGGCTAAGAGTGTTATGCATAGTTTTTACAGTTCTTTACGATGAAGATACATCCTTGGATGCAACACGATCAGGTATTATTGCAGCTAGGGTCGCGAATTAAAACTAGTTCATCGACGGGACTAGCTCATTCATTCAATTTTAGCCAGAATTAGCCTTGTTCAGGCTCTCAGTTAGTAAGCCGACGAGAGAATAGAATGTCTTTCATTCGCTCGTCTCGAAAAACCCAGGGCAAACGTAAAAAAATTAGTTTGGGCTAAGATAACGCTACCTCACCAAAAGATTCTGGATATGAGGTGTTATGAGGCAGATACATCTTCGGAAATTCGTTATGGATCGTTATGTAACAAACCAGGATGTATTGGTATAAAAAAGGGAGGGATTTTAAGTGTAGGCTACCCTTGACAACACCTCTAAAACTACGAGTTTATCGAATAGTTTCCGGCTTAAATTTTTAAGCTAGAAACATCAGATTTGAAATTGGGATGCGTTTGATAAAATTATAAGGGACTATAAAAAGATAATTTCCTTGTATTCAGACTAATTATATTTTCGGCTGGAAAACTCATTCGTTAATTATTGAGGTCTAATCGATGAATTTTTATTCATTGCCCTTGTCAAAAAAAAATTAAACATAACTTATAAATTTAGAATCAAGGTCTGACTGATGTAGAGCTAGGAGAATTCATTTTTCTTGACACACTTCGTCAAAAGTGACCCATATGCATGTAAACGTCCTCAGGAAATGTCTGTTCTAAAAGATTTTGCCGAAATATCCTGCATTAATTATTTATAAGTTTAAACTTCTCATTACCAT